ACTCTTTCCTTGAATTGAGAGTACATCAAAGTCTGTCTGTGCTTCTTTATGAAGAAGAGCTAAATAAACAACGTGATTTTTTACTTCTATATGGTACTCAGACAATTGTTTGTCTTAACATAATTTCTGAGTTGCCAGACTTGTGTGAAATGCAGTTAGGTGGATATATATTCCTTTCATCTGTATTCGCTTTTAAGTCCAATTTACCAGACTAGAGAGCACGCAATGAGTGTTACTAGAGATCAGGCCCAGTGATCTCAGACACACAGATTGACAGTGAAGTTCATTTTTCCTTACTTGGGACTCTTTGGACAAAGGCCTTCCATATGACCTTAGCAACACTGTTTCATAAACTCACTGTCACTTTCTATCTGATGTATTTTAATTAGTAGAAAGCAAGGGTTTAGGATGTGTTCACCTTTGTAAGCCATAAAGAATGAAATATATCTTTGGTAGTAAAATTGTTTGTTGTAGTAGAACTGGGTGTTAAATTTTCTGTCTTAAACTTTTGTATCATCTGAAAATCTCTATTCTACCCAGGCAGGATATTTAAACACTTCTGAATTGTTTTAGAATCCAGATATTGTTATCTATTATGTCTTTCATGCTTTCATTCTTTTATTTGCCTAGATTACACTTCCCTTAACCATACCTCTATTTCCATAATTATCTCTTTTGTGGGGGATGTACTTGATTTTTTAGGGATGGCCAGATAGCAAGGTGCTACGTGGCAAATGCTTCTTAAATGTTTTCATGCAAATTTCTGTATTGGCTTATAAATCTACCACTGCCCATTCAAGGTACCTTCAGTTAATTTAACTCAGGGGTAAGAGCTTCCATGCATGTAGCAGACTGTTACCCATATACATTCTTGGGTGTAATGGTACCTGAGTGGAAAATGCCAGGTAAATCAGGAGTTTTATCTCTATGTAAGTATCCAAGATTAATTTAAAATAATACATGTTCATAAATATGTATTAAAATAAATAGAATCCTAAATGCCGTCATAGTTGTGAATATATTTAAAGGATGTTTATAACTCTTAGTCCTCAGTTACAGCTCATACTATAAATACAAGATAGTAGATTTTTAGTGCCTTTATTCTAAAAGTGAACCACAACTGTCATGTTAAATTTCTTGGCCAGGTCACATGCAATACTAACATTTGTAGTTTATATGGAAATGCTTGCTCTTCTCTGTCTTACCACATAAAGCCTGTACACTGTATAACAGACTGGACTGCTTTTGAACTACATAAATAAATGAAGCAAATAATTTTGAGTCATTCTAAATAGTACCATGATTTTTGAATTGTAAATCAGCACAGTTACGCATTCATGGTAAATAATAATTTGTGCCAAAGGCTTCAATATTGTAGTGCAATGTCAGAAAGAAGATGGTCTTTTGAGGATTTTTTTTTAATGGATTGGAAACTTCCATTGATTGATCAGCATAATCTCTTTTCTGAGCATAAACAGTGCTAGCTTCTTACTAATTTATATGTAGTCTTTTTCTGCAGTGCATATGTTTCTTACATAATTAAAGGAATAGATGGCCAAAATGTGAAAATGATTGTAAAATTTCTGTGCAGATTTCAAGTAGTAAATATAATGAGACTTATTTCCTGGCTCTGAAGTTTGGGACTCTAAAGGATTACATATAGAGGCCAGGTTTTGTATTAGTTTTTATCAGTCAGTTGTACATTCAAATCTGAATGAAAGCACTCTGGGAGTTGATCTGACTTAGGATTCTTGAAATATGTGAAAATATTTATTTTGATAATCCAATGGGAATAGATGTGTTTTACAGTCGGCCTGCACATTATTTTCTTACCTTACCTAGCTTTTGTTGAAATTGGAGTCCTTTTGCAAACTATATGAAGTAGATGAATGAGGGTTACGCATAGGGTTGACATTAATTTGTAAAGAGTTTATGTATGACTCTAGACATATGTGCTGAAATCATGCCTGAACTGAACTTACTTGTTTGTCTTAACACTCAATTTTCCATAATCTATGTATTTATGTATGTATATTTGTGTACATGCATGTAGTTTCTCTGGGACCATTTCAGTCTGACTTCCTGGACTAGTCACTCTAAATGTTTGAGAGGATTGCAAAGTGTATTGGCTTTTTTTAGTAAGCTAATAAATTATTTTTACAATTCTTCTGAGGTAATTGTTTAGAAAGAGGTTTCTAGGTGCCTGAACACCTACTCATTTGTGCTGCACATAAAATAAGCTGGTGCCAGGTTTGTTAAATTTCTGCAAAAAGTAAGTAGCTCAAAACTAAATAGCAATATTTACATTCAGGTCAATTGTGCCATGCTATCTGGTTCCACTCTGTCAAGTAGGAAATAACAGTGCAGCTGTTGGTAGATGAGGAGAGGAGGATTAATATTCTTTGTGGTTCAAAAGAGGAACACATTAACATTCAAAGGGATTTAATCCCTGTAACATGCTTCTCCAGGAACCCTGCAAGTCAAGAGAGACCAAGTCATGATGTTACAATGTAGAAGCTGTATTGCCACATGTAAGCTTTTTTATTTTGAAATCTATTTATGAAGCACTGAGGGCGCTTAACCTCTCCTGAGTTCTGTTACAACCAGTGTTTTTTTCCTACTTCCCACAGAGGGGTGGTATTTCTGCTATCTATTCCTCTTTTATTTGTTGTTGTTATTGTTCCTGTAGAGTGACAAGCATTTGGGGTGCTCAATAATGTCACTTCAGTAGACAATACAGTATGCAGAGAAAATTACCAATTAATTAAAAGAGCAACTTAATATTTAACTAAATCATTATGCATACTTAATTTACTAGGTTTTACAGTAAAAACTGAATTTGCCCCACAGGATTAATTAAAAGGGCTGCAGGGATTTTGTGTGTGTGTGTGATGGAGGTGATTTTAACAAAGCCACAAATTTTTCTCAAAATAAAATATACTCCATTTAATACAAAGGCCTTGATAGCCTTTTTCTTCATAGCTTCCCATTATTTTGTTGCTGCATTACAATTCCATTTATTAAAATGATGGTTTTGACTTATAGCAATGTTCAAGGAATCATATTTTCTTTGGGTAAGACCAGATAGTAAAGCAGTTAAATTGGCAGCTAATCTGTTGGTGGAGTTTTAGTAATGCAGG